GTTCAATTACAAAAATACATTTGATCAACAAAAATATATTAAAAACACAGCTATATATAAATGATTATTATCATTATATAAGTGAACATAATTCTAACACAACAAAAATAACAAATAATAATTAAAATTTGTTCACTAATAAAAACGTATATGCATAACTACAAAACAATGTTACTCATTAAAATGCAAATGTACAACATATATATTCGAATACAATAAAAATAAATATATAATATACCACAGAACACACATATAAAAGATAAATGATCATATATAAACAATTATAATAATTGTTCGTATATGACACACATAATTGGAAAAATTAATCGAATAGTAAAATTGAAATTAAATATGAAAAATAACTGGAAAAAAAAAATCGAATTCCAAACAACAAACAAATCTTTTCATAAAAATTGATTCATCTCTTCGCCACTTACTCTTCCCAATTTGAATTCCAAAACCTTTCCTAAAAGCATATTCATTATAAATTTCATAAGCTTCTGCTTGAGATTTAAATTCTTTGCCCAAGATTTCAGACTTAGTTGCTTCTTCATAAATAATATCATCCTTTTTTTCCACTGCATAAAGTTATAGTGTACAATTGTAAATGAACATAAACAGGTTTTAAAATGATCAATAATCAATAAATAAAATGTTCAATAACAAAATTGCACATGATCAAATTTTAAAATTTTAACATATAATATTATCAAAAACAAAACTTTATACACAAATGATCATTTATCACTTTGAAAATGAACATAAATCAATTAATATATTACTAAAAAAAAGTGCATACGATAAAACATAAATGATTATTTAGCATTATAGACCTGATAATAAAGACAACAAATAAGAAAAGAAATTAAAAGTATCAAAGAAAATCTACGCAATTCTCAAACACAGATTAATAAAATAAATTACAAGTATCAACAACCTAAAAATGTTCATCATCGTAAGCCATAGCAAACTATGAAAATTAGAATATGCCAAAACATAATTTTAATTGTTCTTAAGGGAACAAGTAATATAGATCAAATAATACATAATTAAAATTGCAAAAAATACATCGAGTAACTAAATTACGTGATATAATTTATAGAAATTAGATCAACTAACAAAATAAAAATAAAAAAAAAAGTGAGAGATAAACAGAGCATTCACAAAAACAGAGAATTGATAAACAAAAATAAACAAATTAAGATCATAATAACTCACGTTGATGAACAAATAACTGAGTCTACTAATTGAATTCCAGTTGGAAATACAATTTCATAATCACGATCGAAATCCGTAGAAGAAGGATTAGCCATTGATGCGCAACAATCAGTATCAAAATCAGAGAAAATAAGCTGAAATTTTAGTTGAAATAAAATCAAAAAGAGAGAAAAACAACGACTGGAGAGAGAATGTAGGGATTAAAATCAAATGAAGATCAATTGAGGAGAGAGAAAATGTGGGTTTAAAATCATATGTATACATAGTTTGAGTGATAAGAAAAGAAAGGATTTAAAAAAAGGAAACTAATAACAAAAATAAAATAAAATAAAAATAAAATAAAATAAAAAAAAACAGATCAAGTCGTTAGATTCACGGGGGGAGTGTAGGACTATAGGTAGAACACCATACACTAGCTACAAAACGACGTAGCTTCATGGGGGTGTAGGGTAGAATTTGTATGCAAACATAACGTGGGCATTGTTCAATGGGCCAAGTATAGCAAGCAAATATGCTTCATATTTCATAAAGCTGATTTTTTTTTTTTTTTTTTTTTTTTTTTTTTTTGTGTTCCACCCAATTCAACTTTTGGGATAAGACTGAATTTATGGTTGTAGTCAAAACATTGTGAACTAGATAAAGTCAGTGCGATGAATGCATTTTTTTTCTCTGTATATAACTAATGTATGGCCCAGGTGATGTTTCGAATTACTACTTTATACGTAACACTTTTTTTAATTTCTTAAGCATGTTCGACTTTTTTTATTGTTCTTAGTTTCATATTATCGAAAGTTTCCTATTTTGATATTATATTTATGGAATAATATCGAGAATAATCCGAACTATTGATGGTGTTCTCATTTTAATCCCAACTAAACTTTAACTTAGAATAATCCTAACTATTGAGGTAGTCTTCTCAAAATAGTTTCATTTACCCTCTTTCTTTAATTTGGTTTCAGATCTATTTTCCCTCTTTCTTTAATAATCATAATCCCTCCAAATTTAGAGAGATTTAGAGGGAAAATAGAACTTACCTCCCCCTTCTTTTCTTTTCCCTTCCCTTATCTTTCTCCTCTTTTCCTCCCCTTTCTTTCCAACCTTATTTGCTATCCAAACAAAGCGTTAGATTACTCTTACCGGTGAGAAGAAATCTCCTCATAAGGACATTTTTATTTTTCCCCACGAGGAAAACCAAATTTCCTCGCTTCATAAGGAAAATTGGAATGTGATTCATAGTGGACTGGACCACCCAAAAATTAGCTGCGACTCGTATTGTAAAAAATTTCAAAAAAACTTCCTCTGTTCCATTGTTTGACACATTTCGTTATCACGTTTTCCTACGTATAATTTTTACGATTAATATCTATAAATACACAAAATCTATGTGTGACTGACAAGATTATGTGGCGGGGGTTATTTATTCAGAGGTAATCCGCGATCGATTGATTAACCTCTGATTGACCACCCGACCAATTAAGTAATCCCTAATCGAGTAACCCCGACCGACCGATCCCAGTGACCTCTAACCTCATAACTCCTGAATAAGTAACCCCTGACCGACTGAATAGCCCCTGAATAAGTAACTCCGACCACACGGTGTGGCCAGCCACCCAAAAAACGTCCTGCTATAATTATCAACATTCTTAAATATTTAAAAAAAAAGTGGATTTTTTTTTTATAATTTTTACATTGAGACTGTTCAAATAATATCCTACATGACTAAATTTTATTGTAGCTATAAATCACAAAAGCTAGTTAAAGTGTTGTTTATGATTAGCGTCAAAACGTGTCAACTAAAAAAACTAAGGTGATAGCTTATTTTGTTCAATTAGAGGTTTGACCAATCAAAAAAAACTAATTTGGGTGTTTGATAAATTAGCTTATTAAAAGAGCTTTTTCGGCTCAAAAAGCACTTTTAGAAAAAGTTCATTATAAGAGCTTTTTAAAATTAGCTTATTGAACAATTAGTTTTTTGGCTCTTATATACACTAAAACAGCTAACAAGTAACAACAATTTACCAAACACTTTTACACAATCAGCTAATTATAACCACTTAGTCAAACCAGCTAATACAATAAGCTATATCAATCAGTTACCAGCTAATTACCAAACAGGGCCGATATAACCTTTTGGCCATTCATTTTAAACAAATCAACTTTTTGATTATTTCGGATTACAACTTTTGAAGGGTATAACTTTAAACAAGTCAAAATTGGAGGTAACCTCTTAAACAGATTAACTATGCCATATGTCGCTCTATGATTGGTCTAAATTATTTTTGATTAAATTATATTAAAAAAAATGAAAAAAAAAAACCCCTCTTTGCTTTTCCTCTCCTCCCCCGCCATTTTCTCTCTCCTCCCTACCCTGTCATGACTGGCAATCAGTGGCGGATTCAGGGATACATAGGTACAAGTGTATAACTGCATCCCATTCCACCAATAAAATAAATGATAACATATAGACCATTTGTAGCATACAATCAGTCTCTTAGATGTTGTTATATAGACAACCCCGAACCACTAGAACACTTCGATTATTTTTTTTTTTTGTTAAATTCAAGAAGACCAGTTATTAAAAAAGCTGGTGTCTTAGATATAATTCATATACTTCCTCCTTTTTTTATTATTGCACCATTTAAATTGGGCACAATAGTTTTGGTGGTTGGAAAAAGGAAGAGAGAGAAAGGTAAAAGTACAAAAATGTCCATATGATGTAAACATAGACTAAGTATTAAGTGTGAAAAAACAAGGGTATTTTTGGTATTTGCAGTGTGAACGTAGATATTTTTTGTCCTAAAATGGTGCAATATTTGTGAAACTTCCTTAAAAGGCAAGTGATGCAATATTAAAAGAACGGAGGAAGTATATGTTCTCTTAGATGATTCTTTTTTCACACACAAGTATATTAAGCTACTCATTATAGATCTCGTTGTCGGAGGATGGGTACATTGTACACGCAAAGATTGATACAATAGAAATAAAACATGAACCCATATGATGAGAGGAGAGATAGAGAGAAAACATGTGTAAATAGGAAAATGTTACAATATTTATACAACTTCTTAAATGGTAATTATTACAACATAATTAAAACAGAGGAAGTATAGTATACCAACAACAAAATCAAAAGACCTATACGTCAATCATTCTTTTTTTTTTTTTTAATTACTAAAATTAAGTCTCTTATTAATGCAAGATCATTAAGTAATGATTAAGGTGATTGAATGAACACAGCATAAAAATAACGGAAATTTCACCATATACCACTGAGTTTAAGCTTAATTCACCGTATACCACCAAAAACTTTCTAATACACCATATAACCTTCAGTTTTATGGAAATGTCACAACATGCCATTAATGACTAACGGAGGTTAACACCGTTAGTCATTAAGGTTAATAATGCCACGTGGCAGCTTGTGATTTGTTCCCTTCTAAATAATTTAATTTTAAAATAATTATTAGATTAATTATTGAAAAAATTAAAAAAAAAAGAAAAAAAATCAACCACCACCAACGTTCCCCAGCCATCCACCACCAACGACACCCCCTGCCAGCCACCGCCAACGAACTCCCTCGCCGGTGCAGAATCCGACCAGGACCTCCGCCGGCGCTCCTCCCCTTCCCCTGAACTATCGTGCCTCCCTCGAAAACCCCATTGAATCACCTCAAAAACCCCCCTACCTCCCTCGAAAAACCGTCCCCTAAACGCCGGCCGACGTCGAAACCCCCCTCCCTCGCGTCAGCAAACGAATTAGCCCTGTCCCGATGAAATCTCCACCCCATTGAACCACCACGTATGCCGAAACCCTAAAACCAAAATCTAGGGTTTCGATTTTGGTGTTTTGGGGTTTCGTGGTGGTGGTTTTCGGCAAGTTTCGTGGTGAAGGTTAGAGGGGTTAATCGGGGATGGGATAGAGGTTTTCGGCCTTTTTGCGAAGGTTAGAGGGGTTAATCGGGGCTTGGATGGAGGTTTTCGGTGATTTGCGAAGGTTAGAGGGGTTTTTCGAGGCTCGATGGTGTTTTAAGGGTGGTGGTTATGGTGGTTTCGGGGGTAGGATTTGGGTCAAGGGGTGATTTTGAAGTTGGACTTAGATCGGCGGGGTGGTTGTTTGTATTGGGGAGTTCCGGCCGGCCGATTTCGGGGGTTTAGGGTGGCGGCCGACCGGTTTTAGGTTGGCCTAGGGTAACAGTTAGGGTTTCGCGTGGCTTGGGGGGTGGGTGGTGGGTGGTGGGTTTTTTTTCATATTTTTTTTTTACATATTTTTGTTTTTGTTTTAACTTTATTTATTTGGTCCAATTATTGAGTGCCACGTGGCATTATTAACCTTAATGACTAACGGTGTTAACCTCCGTTGGTCATTAATGGCATGTTGTGACATTTCCATAAAATTGAAGGTTATATGGTGTATTAGAAAGTTTTTAGTGGTATACAGTGAATTAAGCTTAAACTGAGTGGTATATGGTGAAATTTCCGTAAAAATAATATATCATAGAGGGTAAACACGTTGTATTATAAGCGAGGAGTTTTTAAATTTAAATCTTTGTATTAACATTTTTTTTAGTGAAGGAATTATTGCAACGTCTTGACTTACCATATCATTGCTCATGTGGCACCAACTCACCAAATCATGCTAGGGTAAGGATGCCACATGTTGTGCCTCTGAGATTAATTATAAATACATATAGATATAGACAGATTAGGCGAAGGCAAAAGTCTTGTATACAATATTGATCTTCTCACCTAGATTGCCTTGATTTATGTAAAGAGGAAAGATAAATTAATTAAATGTTATTCATACAGCAAATTAGAACTATTGCCTTTTTTCCTCTATATATCACTACTTCTCACTAAAAAAAAAAAAAAAAAAAAAAAAAAAAAAAAAAAAAAAAAAAAAAAAACCTACCATGAGAACAAACTTAGAAGAAAAATAAGCTAACACAATTACAAAATGCTTCTTTGTCTCCACTCTTGCTTTGACTGGAAATATCCAGGGGAATCTGGGGATTCATGAGTCTTTGAATTAATGACCAGTCCGTATTTCGTGTAACACACATCTTTCAAACAATTGCCCAGAATTTTTTCCTGCAAACGAGTACAGTTTCGTTTTCATTTTGTTTGTTCTGCATCTGGTATGAACTCACATCCCAAAGGAACTTCGGTGCAAGATCCTTAATTCGTGAAATGATTAGTTCTTCATCCCTGATAATTATAAATCCCTGCATAAAAAACATTGCACTTCAGGACTTGAGTTGGTAACAGAATCTAAAGGATGTTTGTATAGTTATGCTTTCTTTCCATCATCTATATTCTTTTCCCTTAATGACATATTAAACCCTAAACGTCTTACAAATTGTCTACCTACGAGAATGGACACAAAAAAGATTGCCCTGAGCATAGTTTGGCATGAAATAAGCTAACTAACTGTACTCAAGACCAGCCTATTTCTGTACATACAAAACACATTACTATAGAAGTGCATAAACAAGAAGTGTAAAAGAACTCGGTTCAATGTGGAAGGTGAGAGGATGTTTTCAATAGACCACCTACAAGATATAAGAACAATCAACAGATGATATTACGTGTTAGTTGACTGGAGTATTTAGAATGATAATCCAATGCCCAGCAGGACATGCTCGAATATTTGACAAGTCTGTGTGCTTTTGGTTAGGAAGGGTTTGGTTTGTGAGTTCTCCTTTTTTCGGAATCGTAAAGGATCCCCATCTTCTCTAATATGTCTGGTAACCAAACAATTGAAATGAAGGTCGAAAGCAGATCTTATTGAGTTGAAATCTAATTTTCAGAGAAAACAAAAATGTCATCCTCCAACCCAAACACTGGCTGGGGTGTTATAAGACATTAAGACATGGAGTGACCCTGCATGATGTTTAAACCTTAAGCCATTCCATCCTGTCAGCCAACGTAGATGAGATTTCACTTGATGACACCCAGGATCTTTATGGCTCGGTACAAGTATTTTGTTTGTAGGTGTCATACCCAAGGGAAGGAATAATTTTAGAACAGTCTCATACAACCGTCTTTAATCACCAAACCATGTTACTTGTATAGTTGTATGTGCTATGCATGCTTTATTTTTGGATCAATTATATATTTGAAGTCTCATAAGACTGTCTCTAATCAATAAGACGATAAACCGTGTTACTTGTATGTGCTATGCATGCTTTATTTTTGGATTGATTTTATGTTTCATTTAACAAGAAAACGTTGTGATCATATTATCAAAAGATATTGAGCCATGTTAATCACAAAGCAGATAAAGGACCTTTTATGACGTGTGTATAACTCACTTTCAGAAAGGTGTACAAGAAAATTAAAGTGGAGAATAATTGTAGGAATCGAGACAATAAACATATTAAATGGTACCTCAGGTCTCAGAATACGATCCATCTCCAGCATGATATCCTCCAGCAAACAATTATTATTGTGATCTTTGTAATGAGAGAAAAGATAACACGCATGCAAAAGATCATAAGATCGAGGATAAGTTGAAAATGGCTCACACCTAAACAAAAAGCATTCACAAACTTTGGTTAAAAATTGCTGATCTACAAACTCACAATTGAGTTGATAAAAATAGCAGATGTAGTATACTAGTTTCTTACCAATCATGAAAAGCACCTAGCAAACCTCTACTGTAAATAGCAGTCAACGTATCATCTATGGTTGAAGGAACTACATTCATGACCCAAACAGGATATGAGTTTAATGCTGCAGCAAAACCACCCCAGAGGGCATTCATATCCATGACATTTCGAATCTGTGTCTTGCTAACATTCATCAACATCCAATACTGCTCAACTTGATTCTTCCAAAATACTGAGTCCATAGTAAATTGCTCTTGATTAACACCTATTGAAGTCATGCAAAAGGGGTCAAGTCAACCATACACATACAAAGATAATGACTCGTCCTAATTACCAAGAAAGAAAACAGTTATATATAAAACTACAATTTTTCACTGGGAAATTTTTATTGCTAGTAGCCCTATTTCTTGTACATTGTAAGAAATATTTGGCAGCCACAAAAATAAAAAAAAATAAATAAATAAAAATAAAATAAAAAATAAATAAATAAATAAAAAGGGAAAAGTTTTCATTAGCCCTGTAATTGTTAAATACAAAGTTGCAATATTTGTTATATTTTGTTAAAAATATGTTAAATGAGTATCATCTGAGGCTTTGTTCTCTTAGTCTAAATTAAGGTGTTCTGAATTTTCTAAAGTATTGTCTGCTCTGATTTGAAATTTTGTAATCTGGTTTGGTAGTCTGATCTGATTGACTGAACTTTGACCTTAGTCATACATCAAAGTGTAAGAAAAATTATCATCAAGTGGGATCTTGTTAGATTCGTCTCAATGTGTATTTTTCAGATATCTAATTTTCATAACTTTTACAATGATAGATGGCAATAAGCAAACCGAAATAAGATCTGATCTGTTCTAGTTTGAAGTTTTCTGGTAATTTATATAGTTTTCAGAAAGAGATGATTTAGTTGCATGAGAAAAAGTACACAAGATTCTTTTTTATAGTTTTATTACACTATACACCCTTATCCACTTAAACATGTAAGGAAATCAGCTAAGTCATTCAATATATCTTAACAATATGAGCTTTAAAACTGCACCAAGTAATTCAAGCTAATTCTTTCTATCTAGCATTCTAGCACCCTGATACATCTGATAGGGCTTCATACATGGTGTGGTAAGATTCTCTAGTCTAGTATGCCTTACAACTTAACCAATGCAAGCATTCATTAATTTCTACGATTTCACCCTAGTTAATTCCAAAAGTTGACACAAAATTTAGGAAGCACATATTTTTGAGACATTAACTGACAAAAGCAAGACATCATTAAATTATTCAATTTGTATAGATTATAGAATTAGATGAATAACATACCTAGTCTACTGAGACTCTCAGAATATACAGAAAGACGCTCTGGCTGTGGAGGAAGTTTATCAGAATTTGCTAGTTCACCACTCAAGGTTACACAATTCTTCAGTGGTTTATTCCATGACGGCTTTGAATCATTAGTCACGTCACATATTTGTATCAGGTTCTGTTCTGCATTCTGCTGGACACAAGTTTGATCCCCTGGTTTAACCCAGATTGCTGTTTGAACCTTTTTAGCTATGAGTTTCCAACACATGGCTGTTGTTATATTCACCAACTTATCCCATATCATGGGGTAATCTTTATCTTTTCTGTATGCTGGTGGGGCAGAGTAAACAAAGTATCCATTTGGTCTTAAAAGGCGGTCAACTTCTCTCAGCAGGATGCCATCTGCATATATTGTACAAAGTAAAATTATTTATTGTATGTGAAAGCATGGTTAGGATAATAAATTGGCACGACAAAATTTCAGTAAATAAAACGCTTTACAATTGTATCTACCACATTTAAACATCATTATATAACACGCTTGCTCCAACAAAGACAAAATGATATAAGACAACATGGTTTTCTTGTTCTGTTACATAGGCAGGGATCGGATACTTTTAGTAAATTAGTAAAGTGAATCTAGTTGAAGGGGTGACGGCAAAAACAACCTTGACACCTAACATACTACACCAAAAACCAAAAAAACTATAAGAAATTTTACGAAAAAGCAAAGAATTCAACACTCACTAACAGGCCCAACATCTTTCACAAGAAAACAAATAGAAAACTTCACTTTATGTCATTGAAGTATTGAACAATGAACATGTAATAGACTAGGATCAACAACAACCAACAACAATCACAGGTGGCAGGGACAGCAAGGACAACTAAGGAGGAAGCAGACAAAATTAATTAACACTCCACTATGGAGGGGTGCTCACTGAAGACTGCAAACTGATTCTCTTTTTTGTAACAACCTCAATAGGACAAATTCTAATTAATACTAGGGTATTGTAGTTGCTTGAGCATATAAAGGAAGGTAGCACTAGTAGTAAGGTAGGCAGAAATTGAGTGATATTTTGAATGTGAGATTAGTAGCCTCAAGCTACCATTGAGAGTTATAGCCTAAAGCTATATATATCTTTGTAACCTTTTGCTAGTTTCAATCAAAAAGATTCAAGCTTTCTTATTAATCTTAATCAAATTACAATATTTACAGCAGCAAACTTAGTCTATAACAGAATATCAACGAATATCTTCCACTTCTTTCACCAAAAATTCATCCGCTAGAAACCACATATTGAAAATTAATACAACCCAGCTACATGTATGTATGACATGGTTCCATACATAGACATCAGATATATGTCTCTAAAGAAATTTGAGAGCCAGAAAAGAAATATTAACTGACCATTTTCATGCCAATCAACACGGCATCTTGAACAATGTACCATTTCAAATGAGCTTGTGGGATAAGGAAGTTGTTTTGTAGATATGGCAGCAATCATTGCACCGATTCCTCGTTCTAAAGCAAATTGAATCTGGTTCTCATGCCCATCTTTGGGGGCGAAGGACATTGTTTGTATATCTAATGGCAGTAGATATGCTCCAAAGCTGGCAACACCACAGCCAACATCTAGAACCTGAAACACCCCTGCATTACGGAGATCACCTGTCTCATTAGTGGTCATATTTCCTAACCTGCATAAAGAATTAAGTCAGCAGATCAATTATCTGCAAGACAGCACTGAAGGCCTTAAACCATTACATAGTCATGGTGTTAGAGGTCTTGGCAGATGAAGCACTAGAAATAAAAGGATGTGAACAAAAATTGACAATAAAACCATAGTAGACAATTCGTACACCCAATACTAGGCCTGTTCAACGGGGTAGGTCAGGGGATGGGCGCATAGGGGCAGACCTTGATAAACATTAGTATGGACTGAGGCAGGCTATCTGTACCAGGCCTGTTTTGAACTTAAAGGGCCACTCAAATTAATACAAATAAGGGATATGTCAGCATTTAAATGGGGCCTGATACACTTTTTCATGGTTCATGCTCCTCACCACCATCCATTGACAAATTCAAGAATCCCTTTGACCGTCTTTTTTTCACTTAACTTTCTCATATATCCAACTGCTTCATTTTCTCTCTCCTATACTTTTCAAAGTTTATCCCCCTTCCTCCAGTATTTTCCAGGATTCTTTAAGTCACCTAAGTTCTCTGTAATTCCGAATATTAGAGAGAGTGATTTGAAGACTTCTATCTATTCATCTAAACATCTTTACAAAAATGAGATATTGATGAAATTTGCTTATGAATATGTGATATTCATGAATTTATATGTTTCTCACTCCCTCAATTTATATTTTTTTAGATTTTGAGTTGATATATTGATTTGTTTTGGATGAATAAAAAAAAAGGGATGGGTTGCCCCGGGCTGTGAAACATACATAAAGGAGTGATCCTTTAAGAGCCCACCCCGACCTATTGAGGGCCCCGTCAACAGCCCGATTCTTTTACAGGATATTTCGGACCCAAACTGTATAATATTAGGACGGGGCAGGGTCTTAATGGGGCCATGGCCAGTTGAACAGCTCTACCCAAAACCATGCTGGATAAGCTACCAAGCTCAGGGCATGATTGCTATTACCCACAAAGACTATTATTTACTACATATCAATTTCTAGAGTCAAGATAATGTAAAAGTTGTGGATGTTTACCTTTGAATGTATTCAACAGCTCCATGCTTGAAATGAGTACCACCACCGGGAAACCACCACAGCTGCCCCTTCTCATGAACCCAATTTTGACCTCCTTTCACTTCTGCAAGGTGAGTATGATTCACATTACTCCGCCAGACATAATCCCTGCTGATTGGCCACCTGATTGGTATTTTATAATCCTTAGGGGGTGGTATCAAACAGAATAAGCGCTTGTCAAGAGGAGGGCAGTGCCTCTCCAGTTCCTCTTTCCTCGAAAGATCTAGAGATGGAAGTAAATCTTTCACATAAAAAGGATCGTGGCAAGGTATATGTTCATTTAAGTTGATTGGGCATACATTCATCCCTGATTGAGAGATCACCAATGGTGTCCTTCGATAATTAAGAGCAACTCTATTTGTAAAGCTTGAGGAATCTGCAACATATGTGGTAGTGTCAATTGCACAATATTTAGATCAATGAAGCTATTAAAACAAGGGGGAAAAAAAATTTAAAAAGCTGATATTGCAATTAATATATCATCATTTGTGCACTATCTAATAAGTTATTTTCAAAATGTGTACAGTGTAGTGCACTCCTGGTAATTACCACAGTAAACATGGTCTCTTAAATATATTTTGCTAGATTTGGATTCCATAGTTATTCTTCAAAGTGATGAAAGAACAGTGGAAAGTTATACAAATCAGATCAAAATTAGATAATAATCTATATACATTACATTTACAGAACAACATTTCAAACAAGTGAAAATTAAAGAACTACATACACTTTTATAATATTACTTTTCTATTGATTTCTATAGTTTTATAATTGGCTTCAAAACAGAACTTTAGCCTTTCAAAAGATTATGGTACTGAACAAGTGCATGTTATAAGGGAAAGACCCATTGGCTGCTCTTGGACAGTGCAAGGACCCAAAACTTTTATGAAATTGTGATCATTTAGTAGTTGGGGAAAAGTGAGACAAGATGTTAAAAGACTATCATCATATTTGAGGCCAACTCGTTCCTCCAATCCTTGGGCATGTGGCTAATTTCAGTTCAACCATCCTGTCACTACATCAATTAGTCCTTTTGATTAAAGAACAATACCTTAACTCTTCGACAACATAACTACCTTAAGTCCTTAACCCACCCCAAACACCACCAGAAACATACAACAAAAATCCACCCAATTACCATGAAAACCCACCAACCCACTACTAAAATTCATCCAACAACCACTACAGCCACCACTCTATATCCTACCACTGAAACCCTTAGACCCTCCATAGCAGACTCATGTCACAACTGAGAACGAAACGTTAACAATGAGAGAACGGAGGAGACTTTTTAACCTTTTAACAGTCGAATTTAGTCCCAAGTGATAGATTCATAACCTCTGTTTGACTGTGACCACCAAGGAGTTATGGTGGTTCTAGTAGTTCCATATAGTTGGTGGTGGATTTGGTGGTAAAGGCAGTGGGTAAAAAGAGAGCAGATGGCAGTACTGGAATTAAAGAAGAACGAGAAGGGCAGTGGTGATTGGTGAAAGTCTTTTTCATGTATAACAAACAACATGAGAAATGAGGGGGTTTTCTTTGGTCCAACCAAACATATACACTTCCCTAGTCCCTTCTAGAACAAATGGCTTATCATAATTTCTGTCACAAAACCAAGTATAAAAGAGGAGCAGTGAGCAAGGAGGTTGACGCACACTATACGGTTTAAATTACCAATTCCCTACAAATGGAAGCCACATCTACTCGTACAATCCTAACATGATGAAAACCTACTCTACATTTCCCAGCCGGAAGGAAAAATTTGAGATAGGATATTAAGCTAGACTTGTTGATCATTGCTCTAGGACGCACATTTGATATTGAGGGGGTCAGCGGGTCACCCTTTTGTTATTGCCACAACAATAGAGGCCTACTTGACTGTGCTATTAGGCCTCTATTATTACTACTACGTTTCAAGCAAGATGCCAATGTTACATAAAAGAATCCACAACGTCCCAAAGGTACAAAGCTTCTTCTGCAACCTTTTTCTTTCCCAATCCAAATGCAAATCATCCTATAGGTGAATAGTCACATGGGAAGAGTAAGAAGGATCTTGTTGACAGATTCAGCGAACATGGTCATTTCCTAGCCCTATGTACCCTCATAACATAACATATGTTGCAGCAAGTCTTCATGGATTACACCAACAAGTTTATTGGTTTCCATAAATGCATAATTTCATACTATAGCAGGGTACTTTCTTTCTTCACACAAAATATTGTGATGTCCGATTTGTGGGCACTCAGGCATCAGGGGATCGACTATTCCAATCCTGTTGCATACTATCAAAAAAATATCTACCTCACACTTTAATCAGCTAGGAGCAAAATTTAACAAAGCAATTGAGCGAGACACGACTCAGTTTTATCTTAAGCTTGGAAGTGGAAACATTGCTTCAAGAAGCTGCCAAAATTTCAATGCTATCCCAAATCGAAAAATGTGGTGAAGGAATTGGTTTTAACCAAGCTCTAGGATCCATAAAACACACTATGATCCATTGATCCACCACCCTATACCCAATCTCTACATTTCAATTAATGCTTCACCTTCCAAGACATTGAAGTATATTGATGAAACAACAACCAATCTTCGACCCGCTACGCCCTGCCCAATAACCAGGTCCGCCAATCTACCACAAAGTATCATAATTACACAGCTCAGAAATTCATGCTTGAGCTAATCAATTGCTAATCAACAATGTCTATTCTAAGGTTGCACAAGATTCTTTACCAATTAAACAAATTGAACATTATAAAATCATATATCCATTAGCTTTCTATAATTAATTTTCTACTTAAGCTCATGACACAAACATGCAACAAAATCCCAGCAGCAAAAGACAATAAATAACACACTAACATTAAAGTAAACCAATTTACAGAACTATTAAACTTAAATGCAAAAAAATAAAGATTGAATCTTTGATAATAGAAAATAATAAAGATTGGATTATTAAGCAAAAATTGAGAAATATACCAGTAGAAAAATTGGAGGAAGTGGGTATTTCCAAAAGAGGGGCGTTATTGGCAAAGAGAGTGCCTCCATAAAAAGCGGCAGCAATCAAAATCAAACCCACCATCAACATTTGGCCCCCTTTGGAATCTGGAAACATCCGCTTAATTCCCATAATTTTCTGGACAAATTCAGTGAGATCTGCAATTTGAGTGGGGAAAGAAGAGAGAGAAGGAAACAGTGTCAGAGAACAAGGGGAATTGGAGATACAAGTATTGTTTAAGGAATTTTAACAGTGTTGATGATTGGAGAAAATTAGGAAGAACATTAAAAACAGTATATAGAATTGAGAAATTTGAATTAAAAATAGGAAGTAATTGAAGGAATATCAGACTTGTGTTTCTTTTCAGAAGAAAGAGAAGAGTTGTGTTTTGTGAAAGAAAGCTGGATCAGAACAGAAACCACGTGATGGTAATGCTGTTTTGAAGTGATGAGAAGATATGGAAGATTATTTTTGGGAGGGATAAAAATAAGTGTCGGTTAAATTTTAGTAAGAATTAAATTGAACTAAATCGAAATTAAAGTATCGTTTAATTTTGATTTTTATGGTGGGAAATTATTTTTGACACACCCATAATTGATTTTGTCAAATCCTTATGTGAAAAGAGCATAATAAACTATACTCTCACATAAAATGCGTGTTTAGAGAGTGAGAGAAAGCTTAAGTGGTAAGAGCTCTCCGTTTGGTTCCAAGAGATTTTTGGATCGATTCTCATCCCCCGCCTTTGTGGCTCTCTAAACACCACCAAAAAAAAAAAAAAAAAAGTGTACCAAAATCATTTCTCGTACTTTGTAGTTATTATATGACATTTTTATCACGGAGTAAAGAAGTAATTTTAACATTACAAAAAAAAAGAAATAGTTAAAGTTAAATATAAGCGTAGCTAGGGATGTCAATGGGGCGGATCAAATAGGAGACTCACCTCATCCCCGTCCCAACGAGGTGGGGATGGGTCTTGGTTTGGCGGGTGATGGGGCGGGGATGGGGATAAAAATCATACCCGCCATGGGTGATGGGGCGGGGGTGGATTTTAGGTTGTACCCGCCCCATCCCCGCCCCGCCCTACTTCGTACCCGCCCCACCCCTACCCGCCCCACTTCGTACCCGCCCCATCCCCATCCACCCCACTTTGTACCCGCCCCATCCCCACATCCATGTATTTTTAAAAACAAAATTATATACTTTTATACTATTTTATAAAAAAAATTATGTAAAATAAAATAGTATATTATAATACTTTGTAATACACTTATATTATAAACAAAAAAATGTGTTTTATTAACAATGATTTTTTTCTTTTTGCAATCTTTATTAATTGTGAAGGATTGTGCATTTGGGAGGCGGGGATCAGGCGGGTCTTAGGTGGGGATTAGGTGGGGGTGGATATCCAAGTGGGGGTTGGGGCGGGGATGGTTTTGGAATTGTACCCGCCGGGGCGGGGATGGGGATGAATTTTAGACCCGTCGCGGGGATGGGGATGGGGATGGGGATGGGTATGAAAATTTTAGATGGGGATGGGGATGGGAAGGCCAAAATCCGCCCCGCCCCGCCCCATTGACATCCCTAAGCGTAGCCGATCAATAACAACTCAATAATTGACTTATTTACTCTGTATTATTTTTGGATATTACTAAATGTCGTTATTAAATTAAATGATCATGCGTTATTAACACCTAACTCCTCTCCTACCCTGCTGATAACCTTCCCCTAATCCCCTCCACCGCCACCCAACTAACCACCTTTGCTTTCACTAATGCCCACCCCCTTCCTTCCTCATTGTCGAAATCTACCCCTATCTTCCCACCCCTCAGAAACCACCTCTTCTCGCCCCATCCACCAAAACCACCCCCTCCTCTCCCCTAGCATCCAAAACCACCCGCCCCTTTAATTTCCATTGCCATCGCCAAAAGCAACCCTCCTCTTCCCTACCATCGAAAACCACCACTTTTTTTTCTCCCCTCATGGCCAAAACTACCCCTCCCCTCCCCTCCCAAACCTACAAAACAACCCTTTCCTCGCCCTCACCACCGAAAACATCCTTGACCGTGGTCTCACTATCTCAATAGTGTTGGAGAGGCAGTTGATAGGTAGTGTTGGTGGTAAAAAGAGAAATAAAGTAAAAAAAAATTCATTCGTCAAGTCACTAGTCATCTTGGTCCAATAAAAGCAAATTCCTCACAAAAATTCGAATTATAATAAATAACTAATATGAAGTATTTGGAATTAATAAAAGTGAATTAACTAAAGTTGGGTTGAATACAATAAAAACAAAATTTTCATAGTTTTATTACTAACTAGGGAAGCTTACATGCGCGATACGCGCGCCATAGCTAGCCACATCAAAGAGCTTTTTTGATTTGGTCTTATGTCACAAGTTTAGTTGTTGCCAGCATTAATAAGGGAAAATGCATATATAAATATTTTTAGCATATGTAAATAAATATATTAAGGGGCATAATTGTCTCTAACAAGTTTGGGGGAAGAGATAATAGTATGGGCTTGATTATTATTCATCAATAAGTAGAGTATTTATACAAAAAATAAGATCATAAGATAGGTTACAATCTTCCTAAAAGATATTCTACTATAACTATAAATGCTAAAGATATATTCACTTATATATATTTAAGAGTAAATGTGTAAATAAATATTTCAAGGGGCATAATTGTCTCAGCACTATTCATAAATGTAACAAATATAATATAGGCGTAAACATGTAAATAAACATTTTGAGGGGCATAATTGTCTCAACACTATTTTTAAGTTTTTAGTCATACTTTTAAAAAGGTAGGGATAAACTTATGATTTTAGTATTTCCCTTAAAATACGAATTTTACATTGTACAAGTGACGACAGACATTTATGTCACTCATATTGTTTTATATATCTTTGATATTTTTAGGATTGTTTCCCTCTATTTTCAATGAGAAAATACAAGTTTATCGTCATGATATACGAAATTATGATGATAATAAACAGTCTGTTTATGGCTTAATAGAGAAAATTAGGAAGAACATTTTTATTTATGTATACAAGTTCATCATCATGATATATTTGTTCATTTTGCGTATACCTAATCTATCTGTGAATTCCTTAAAAAAAAAAAAAAAAAAAAAAAAAAAAAGTTCATTTTATTTTAATTTTCCGAGGCTAAATCATGCTAACAATATTGACACAATGACCCAACAAAACTTCAGGCCATGAATTGTGACAATTGTCAAGCCCAACTAATGGGAGGGGAAGCAGCCCACACAACATCACCACATAAGCATATAAAAGCTTGAAGCTTTTTGTCTCTTAAATGAACCTCCTTATACTACTACACCGGTACACGTACATTAAGAATGACATGGGCCGCGCCAAGTCGAAGGCAAAACAATCAACTCGGTAAGTTGGGTTGGGTTAGGTCAGGGTTTGGGCCGAAAATGCTTCCAAAAACCCGTAGATTTTACCGAGCCTAGCGAGCTTTTGGATTATTTTGGTTCGGGCCAAAAAAAAAAAAAAAAAAAAATACAGCTGAAAGTGTCAAAAATGCTTGTTCATGGCCTGCCTAAAAAAAAATATTAATTTTAAGCCGAATTTTTATTTTCATAGCCGCCCAAAATTAGACCGGGCCCATTTTGGTCACCTCTCTAATGCATATTTCCTATTCTCTCTAATGCACAAATATGAACTTGAATTGTTCCGAGACAATAAAAGATATTTATGGTTAAAGTTATGTCTTGATAAATGTGCCGGTCTAAGTGATATAAATATTAAAAAACAGAGGGAGTATATATAATGTCGGAGAATGTAGACTTATCAACTGGCCTTATTGTAACATAATTGATTTGAATTTAAGGGCAAATTCTTTTATAGAGGAGGAAAGTGAAATGATATAATCAGGGACTCTTTATATAAAATGAAAAATTGATTCTAATAATCCCACCTTTAGCCGGTTCGCTGTTAATAATCCCACCTTTATAGGGGATCTTTTTCTATTGGTCCCTAACTTGTTGGTAACCAACTTTGATAGGTTAAAATGCCACATGCCGTTTTGTAATTGGTTGAAAAATAAAATAATTTAAAAAATTAAAAACTAAAAAAAAAAAAACCGACCAGCCACCCCTCCACCCACCGTGAAACCTTAACCCTTACCCTAGCCCCACCGAATACCGGCCGACTTCCACCATAAACCCCCGAAAACGGCTGGCCGGAATAAAAAACCACCCCACCGATCAAATCCACCACCGAAATCAACCCCTGACCCAAACCCACACTTGAAACCACCACAACCAAATACCCCCGAAACTCCGCCGAAAACCGCCATAAACCCCCGAAACTCCATCGAAAACCCCCATACACCCCCGAAACTCCATCGAAAACCCCCTCGAACCGCTCTTGAAGGTTATTTTTTATTTTTGCTTTTTTTTTTTATTGAAAATCGGGGTGGTTTTAGGGGGAGCTGGGTCGGTTTTTGCTAGGAGGGGGTGGAAATGGGTGTTCCGGCGGTAGAAATGGGAGTTCCGGCGGTACTGGGGATGGGGGTTCCAGCGGTGGAGATGGGGAGGAGCCGAGGAGGGGCTGCCGGAGGTTGGGGGGTTCGGTGGTCGTTGGGGATAAAAAAAATTATTAGGGTTTTTTTTTTTTACCAAATTTTTTTAAGTTTTTTTTATTATTAATTTTTTGACGAATTATTTAGTGCCATGTGTCACTTAAATTAAAAAAAAAAAAAAAGTTTACCCAATGTACAGGTTACCAGTCATAAGGGACTAATAGATGAAAATCCCCTATAAAGATGGCATTATTAAATAAAAATCTAAAGGTGGGATTATTAACAGCGAAGCGACTAAAGATGGGATTATTAGACTCAATTTTTCCTATAAAAAATTGTCACTAAATTTAGTTCTTGACATCGTTAGCTCTAATTTATTTGGATTTAAGCAAGAGTTTTTATATTGTATTACTTATCTTACTAATTGCCATATGTTACAACCTTCCCTTTTATCAAGTTTATGTTCAGAACTTTTTATGAAAATGTTCAAGATGACAAATTAATAGAGTAAGTTTGTTATGTTCAAATAAAAGTTGTGATTTATACAGAAATATTTGTAATCACTTTGCTCATTTTGTACATGTAATTAAATAAATGACTTAAACAGAGATTCATGTAAATTGGGAGAGTAGTACATGGAGGATATAAAAATGACATAAAATTCCAGTTAACAATTTTAGTATCTAATAAAATACCAAGTAAATTAAAACAGTTCTTGTATAAAAACAAAAAAAGTAAATTGAAACAGTTTATTCCATATATATATAGATTGTCTATTGGGTGACATATACATTACAACCATAAACAACCATACATTATTAGGATACCTTAACCCTTACCCTAGCCCCACCGAATACCCGCCAACTTCCACCATAAACCCCCGAAAACGGCTGGCCGGAATCAAAAACCACCCCACCGATCAAATCCACCACCGAAATCAACCCCTGACCCAAACCCACACTTGAAACCACCACAACCAAATACCCCCGAAACTCCGCCGAAAACCGCCATAAACCCCCGAAACTCCATCGAAAAACCCCCATACACCCCCTAAACTCCATCGAAAACCCCCTCGAACCGCTCTTGAAGGTTATTTTTTATTTTTACTTTTTTTTTATTGAAAATCGGGGTGGTTTTAGGGGGAGCTGGGTCGGTTTTTGCTAGGAGGGGGTGGAAATGGGTGTTCCGGCGGTAGAAATGGGAGTT